TTCCGGGCTCGGTTTACAACATCACCGTAAAATTTAGGTTGTGCTATTCCATTTGAAATAATTTTTCTACAGGTACATTCAAACTTGTCTACATCTTTTGGTACACTGTGGCATGCCACAATTTCTCAGAGCTGTGTCGCATGTGCAATTAAGACATGTAGCCTATTTAAGAGCTCCTCATTGGATTCTGAAAATGTTTTGCATGTGCAAATCAGAAATGTAACCTATAAGAACAGATCCCCATAGTAATCTGAAGAAAAATTGTTGCTCGGGTTCTTATTTATAGTTCATGTACATACATTCTAGACGTGACTGCGTATTTATACATCCCACACAGCCGAACTGTCGCTTGTTTCAGCATGTGTCGTGTGTCGATTGGAAGATACATATACTATATATATTTCCTACCGATATTTGGGATGTATATGCATTTGCTTTTGGTTGATAAGTTTATTGAACTGACAAGCTCACCCTTCCGGAGCACCTGAGATCATCCACGAGTTGCAGAGTATGTACTCTCACTGTGTTATACATGTATAGATCGACATGTGTTTATCCCCATCAAGCAATGGTACAAATTCTCCATATGAGCTAGGATAACAAAAAAGTCAGTCATATCAAGTTCATCTGTGCGTATCACAGTATCAAAAATTAATCTTTTGCATGTGCAGTGCAGGGTTCATGTTGACCAGTCTTTGTTTATCTGTTCGTCTTTTTTGTGACCAAATCCGACAAAATAGTATGAATATGGATGGAAAATATCAGTCTGCCTGTTGTAAGAAGTATCAACATATTTGTGTTGTCAATGATTGCCGCCACATGGCGATTTTACACGCCGTAAACCATACCCACTTACAGTTCCTGTGTTTTCGCATGCAGTAAACTCCGACTTTTGATTTGTTCCAGTTTTTATTCTCGGAACCTCATGTTTTGCGGCTTCTTACCGCATGGATAACGACGAAATTTAGGGGAAATCGGAAACGATACGGACTACAGAAATCAATATAATGTCGCGTATACGCAGAGGCAAAACTTAATCCAAGATTTTCTTCCTATAGTAACCGTTTTTGCTATTATTTTAAAGGTCTTTCGAAAACTTGCAAAATAAGGGCGATAGAAACAAAAAAAGATTTACTTTCTCAAGTTCTCAAAAACAGTTTAATTAATTCTGACTTCATTCCCATGTATTTGTTACACTTACAGTGTGTCAGAATTTGTGGAATTTGAATATGAAATACTACACTAAGTGTTATAAATATTTATATGCTTAAAATTAAAAGGGTATTTAAACATTTTTATAAATATTCATAAATTCTGTCGTAAACACAGCTGTTAAACACATTTTTTTTTTAAATCTTAACTTTACATATTTTTGTTTTTAATTTGCCATTGAATTGTCATCAGGTCTGAATTATGAAAAACAACATTATTACATAGCATTTATTTGTCTTTTTGGCTATCCTTTTTTGTCCCTTTTGGTCATATAGCTCCTAAAGTTTATATATACGTATTTAGACATGCCAGCATCTATAGCTTTCAAATTTTGTTTTGAGAGTTCCCGAAGAAGGTCAATTCAGAAAGATTCAAATTTTGCTAACATCTGCCAAAATTGCAATTTTAAATATATACAAATCCATAAATTTCTTAAAATCTCAAGAATATGACATAAATGGTGCCTGAAAGTTAAAGAGCACGAATGAAATTGTGGCACAGGGAATTTTAGTAAAGGTTTAATGACATTTCATATTCTTCTGATTTTTATTACCGCTATTACTGTTAGAACTTGCCCACCCTTCCGGAGCACCTGAGATCATCCACGAGTTGCAGAGGGTTCATGTTGATCCGTCTTTGTTTATCTTTTAGTTTTTTATTTTTGTGACCTTGATTTATTCGAATTTTATATTGTGTCTTTGGTTTCTTCTGTCTTATTTCTTAGTATCATTGTTATTATCATTTTCTGCGTTTTACAATAAATCCCTTGATTAACACAGAGGCGGATTTAGGGGGAGCAGCGTGCCCCCCCCCCCCCCCCCCCCCTTAATGTGGGAAAAATTGGTTGATTATTTAGTAACCATTGAAGCATGACTGGAGCGGGGCCCCCTTATGAAAATTTCTGGATCCGCCACTGTAAACATAACTTGTGTAGAAATAGTTGACCAATTCCTATCTTTTTAGTAGTTGATATTACTTACACAAAATAGCATCATGGCCATAACGTAATTACTTGATGTCCATCATGTGCGGTTCAAAATAAGAATAACAAAAATGGTACGAGATGCCATAATTCTCAGCTGATATGCACAGATAACTCTGTCGACCAAGAAATATTGAAAGGGGGATAACGCAAAAACATATTGAGGAAAATACAGCTGCTAAAAAGTAAAATAACAAAAATACCGAAATCCAAGGAAAATTCAAAACGGAAAGTTCTTTATCAAATGGCAAAATCAAAAGCTCAAACACATCAAACGAATGGAAACAACTGTCATATTCCTGACTTAATACATGCATTTCTAACGGTAATCTGTTTGCATCGATTAATGCCAAGTTTGCTTACATTTATTCGAAATAATTAAAACAAAAGAAAGAGTGCAAACAGAATATGTTGCACGTCCAATGTCACGTGGATAATTTGTTTCACCGCCAATGTAAATCAATTATTTGTTTGCGCCTAAAATTGTAGGTGACATTTTATAATCATAAGATTTATGCATTTGGTAATCGTCACCTAAATGTACTGTATAAAATGTCACGTGCGATGCCCATTGACATAGAAAATGCTTATCCGCTGTAAATCTAGCCTAATTTTTGGTTGTCTTGTTAACAAAAGGAAGCAGAGATCTAAGTTAATCTTAACGTTAACCTGAGCCATAATTGGCAGTCTTTTGACCTGTCGTACCATAATGTTCTAATAATAAGTATTTTTAAAGGAAATAATTAACTAAGACTTAAAGAGTTCATTCGATGTCAAGCAGTGTAGGAATGTAGTACGATGCTCGGAACCACTTCATCTTAAGTTGACATCCTTTATAGGGCATTTCCTAAGGTTTTCAGGTGAACACTGTTCTCATGCTGACCATAAGGTTGTTTATTTTTCTTAATCATAAACAGATGACATAAAACCAATGATGAATCGACGACAAACATTAAACAGGTTACTGTCCAAAAGTCAAGGAGATGAGGGAAGAACACAGAAATGAATTCACAAACCGATTGATTGGTTGGTGGTTTCTCATAACAAAGTGAACAAAGATGCTAATATAAATCATAAATAATTGAAAGCCATCTAAAACCTCTAGTAGATTTATAATGATTTCAATGTTGTGTTAACCTGTATTGAATAATTACAATAAATAAAAATTTCACAATATTTTTCTTTGCATTTTTCTCATTATTTTTTAATTTATATCTTTTTCCGTTGCCTTTTTTCTTGTGACCTTTCTGTCTCTACATTCATGTTTAATCAGATTTGGGAGAAATTGTTCGTATAATTTATTTTGTTTTCATGTATACCATCAATCCCATTGAGGTATAATAGTGTATTATTTTCAATAAGCTATAATTTAAGCAGTTTGGTTATATTAAAATTATGAATTAACTTTGCATATTATTTGAAAATTGTATACAAACTAAGAAGCTTTATAAACGACAGGCAGCTGTATCCTGTTTCATAATGATGCAAAGCTTGTTAAGATTTTTCAAAGCTTTACTGAAAAGCAGTTTAATTCAGCAACATTTATTCTTGAATAAAACAACAAACTCGCGGCGAATTCAAGCGTTTCTCGTATTTTTCGATGTCGCCAAAAATTGATAAAAAGATAAAAGGAGATTGTATTTATTAATAATAATGAAACCGTTAAAACTTTTACACTCCAGTGATTCGTGTATCTCGTAAAAGATGTTGTATTGTCACCATATGGCTTTTTTATGTGATGATTAACATGTCCATATTATCGATTAATAACTGTTTTAAAATTAATAAAATTACAGAAAAACGAAACTAGATTCTGAATCACTGATCTGTAATGGCGTTAACAATAAAAACGAAGCGTCCGACCCGAGTACAAATAAAGTACATTATTTGTATTACAAGGTGTTGAATGTCTAATGACTTTATTCAAGGTGTATAAATTCGCACCTGGTTTTTTATGAACTATGAATCAGAAAATATATAATAACAACATTTGATATGGATACAGATGTTGTTTTGTGTTGACAAATTTCTGTCTTTAAAAAAAAATAAGAAGATGTGGTACGTTTTAAAAGTCACATGACAAGATATACCCATTCTGTCCCTTTTCCTGATTTTACATATGATTTTAAAAGTACACGGTGTAGGGTTGTTTCTCCTAAAAACAAGAATTTGTATCTTGCTATAAAAATTCTCAACTAAAAAAAATAATATTATTACTTATTATTTTTTGTTTGCTTTACTTTTTAATCGACTGATGTTACGTCTACACTACTTCCAACACCCTTTTTACTAAAGTTTAAAGTATCTGATTTTCAAAAATAAATAAGGAATTAATTCAGGTATTCACTTCAAATGAGAATTTACCAACCGCAATAGATATATAAAGGAAAAGGAAGGGGTACACTTCAATGTTCACCCGAGATATTAAGACAGCACACGACAGTTTATTGGTACTTTATAAAGGTAAACATTGTATAAGTAACGATTAAACTTAGTAATGTGTAATTTGTGGTGAAAAAACAATCCCGTTTTAAATGGCTTTGGGGTAGATATAGAGTTAATCATCGGAAATAAATTATAGGTGTGTTAAAATTATGTAAAAGTATCAATCAGTCGATCCGAATAAAGATGAAACAGTTATTTGATTATGCCAAATTGGATAAGCATCATCAGTTACTAAGGAAACGAAAGTTAAATAGTAATACAATTGATATTGAATTGCCCCAATAAAAATTCTTTCAGACAATTATCTAATATGAAAAGAACAACATAGGTCTATCATAATCGATTTCATTTTGTTATTAAACGTTACAATGTATGTAACGTGCAGACGACTTTAGCTATTTATCGTCTGGTGTTCGCGTGGCAGTTCTGTTGAAGATGTTGCGCTTTGATTACAATGAATGACTCATGCTACGTCAGACGATGGCATTAAAAGAAGATTAAAAAAATATTTGATGTGTGAATTAACTTGTACATGTGCTTTTTAGTGTAAATGTAGTGTATGCATGGAGTATTTTATTTATTAATCTATAATCTTTGAAAAATCAATTTATGTACAGGATAAAAACGGCGCGTCAGTTTCCGGATGATGTTGACAAGTATAGTATTTGTGTAAACAAACAGAAGATGACACTTAGGAGCGATGACACTATTTAATAAACAAAACATTATACTTACTTCGAATTAACATCTGTGTCAAAGGGGCTGACTCCGGAAACCTTCTTTATTGTTCTTCCACTGACAATTAGCTTATCAGAGTGTACAGGAAATAATGTTTTCTCATTGGTTAATTATTAATCCAAGCATAACGTAAACTACAGATGTGTTTAAAGCATCTTCAAAAAAGATAAACAATAATTTCTAGGATTATAAGTAATCAGTTTATTAAAATCGGGGTCAGTAGGTAATATAACACCCGCTGAGAAAGTTCGTAAACCAGATAAACGGATTTACGCTTTATTACATTAATTCAGCATCTGAATTTCATAGGGATTGGAAGTGTGTTGTCTATATGTGATATAATTAAAATGAACTTGTTGGATTTTCTGTGTTCTTACCATTCCGTTCGGACTAAACGTGTTGTAAGTCCAGTTTCTGTGACTTCAGGGACCAACTCTCATCGTACAGGTTGTGCATATTCTTCGTCCAAGATGTATATTTCATGCAGTAATTTATTTAGTGTAACTATAGTTATATGTGTGATATTATGTAGTATATTTCCATGTTTGACGGGTTCTCCTACAAAACAAGATCAGGCATCAACACAGGCATTGGTAAGATTATTTATATATAATAAATATGTACATATACAGGGCTGAGGTTATATAATGTTACATCTAGTATACTATTCCCAGCTACAACGATATTCCATATTTAAGGATATTAATAATTGTTAGTCTTGGTTATTTTCATTCTTTCTTTATTGGAATTATTTTGGCAGAAATGGACATTGGGGTTAATGCTAGGGAAGTTTAAGGGATACGGGATATAAGCGATTTTATCCCTCTTAATACATGAAATAAGGAATATGCATATATTTTATTCTGGCTATGTCAGATGAAGACTTAAAGAAAAGACTTTTTATTTCAATTCCAGAAACACCTCTTGGTCTTTTGTTTTCATAGTTTTAACGTCGTCAAATGGTATCTAAATCATGAAAAAATCAAAAATATGTATTTGTATAGAATGCTGTCAAAACTATGGTAGAACTGCTATGATTATAAATGTATAAATATATGTCCCGAAATAAGTGTTACTCTTTGTATATTTCTTCTTCTTGTAGTCTTTAGAAAACCCAATTTTAAAAAGGCTACATAATTTATTCAAATATGAATTTTGTATACAAAAAAAAAATCATGAGATCAAGACGTTGTTCCTCTTATCCATTTTTCATATCCAAGGAAAACTTGGCATTACTATAAAAGCAACATTATAACCAGATGTTTCCTACAATTATTTTTATGTGTAATGAGTTTTACAAATCTTCATAGAACGTTTCATTGAATCGTGCCAAAGATGAAACAGGCCGTAAAAACATATGGTGCACCTGATGAGAAGTAAAAAATACTACATGTCAAACAATTGAAAGGAGAGTGTCTGTTAGTAAGACATGCAAGAAATATATATTTGTCATGTTTGTAGTTTAGATTTCATGCAAATTTGTATTTCGCCAATCCTCAATTTATCCAGGTTGCAATCGTCGAGTCAATCCCATTACATTACTAAATTAATATTTTTTTTTCATATAATTTTTTAATTAGTTTGAGTCATAATTTCAAGGAACTAAATTTTTCTCTTAACTTACAAGTACATTTTATGCTGTTGAAGGAAGAATTTTCTATTTCCTCTTTCGTGATTCATCAATATTCAATCTGAGACAAAATATTTTGACGTCAGGCAAATATACCTTCCCAGATTCAAGAGATTAAAACATTTAAAAAAAAGAAGTCAAAAGACAAAATTGAGGTTTTAAAGTAGATAAATGTTATGATAATCTCTTCCCAAAATTTTTCAAATATTTACTTTTAATTCGTGATGAGTATTGAATGTGATATTTCAGGCAAGTGTAGATTTCATATAATTGACATTACGTATTGAAGCCAGGTGAGAAGATGACAATGTAAATATTAATCCATGTCACAGGTGTGACAATACTCTTTAAGACATGTCGATCAACAACATTTAATATTAAGGTTCAATGACACGTGCGTACCTTCGTCTCATAAAAGAAATTTAATGCAGAAATAAAACGATTTACTTGCATCTTTGTATTATTTACCTGTGTGCATATCGCCTTAAAGTGATAACTGATTCATTCAATCGATTAAACATGTAATTTTTTTGGTATACTTACTAGACCTTTTCAACAATTGTCTACACCTACAGTTGACAACGACTACGACAGGTAAGATGTAAGTGGTCGTCTCAAAGAGGTAATGGTTGTATATAATGGTTACCAGTAACTGAATTGAAAGGATTTTTTTGTTGCCTATATGTATTTACCACAACGATATTTTTGTTGTTGTTGTAAACCATTTACCGATTTAAATTCTTTAATTTCATTTTTGAATTGAGTATGAATGAGGGTCTTGATGGGGTTTACAGAATAGAAATAAATGGACAAATACTACAGGATCATGGGACAAAAAATAAAGAATAGAGAAAAATAGGCAAAAAAAAATAAAGAATAGAGAACAATGGGAAAAATAATAGAAATAGAAAATGGCTTAAAAAGTAAGAGAATACAGAATAGGGATCCCATCCAGACCCCCATGAATGAATAAAAGGGAGATCTTTAATAGTCTATGCAATATTTTTAGAAGATGAGATTAAAGCTACTTTAAACTAGGAAAATAAATGTAGTAAATATTTAAACAGACAATTGTTTTATGTCTTTTGATATGGGCGGCACATTTCTATACAAAGTCCGTTATTTTTGGCCTCAAGATTCCTTCGTACTTAACAGTTTTTTTTTTAATTCACTCATACTATTTTCAATTTAAATCTGTATTTAGTGACAAGTTGTACAGAACATTTAGATAAAGCGAATGTCCTATTTCATATTTTGGTTATATTTTGTTTTTAATTCCAAAAGCACATAACAGACTTTGACAATAATGGGAAAAGGCAGACACGGGTTATGGACACGACATGAATAAAGCATAAAACCTCAAAATGCAACACATAAAACAGACATTTAGAGTTACCGCGTGATCTTCAATACTGTCGGGTAATCATTACCAAGCAGCGAGATCTGATCGGCTCCGACAAAAAAAAAGAGATCAAATCAAATGCCGCAGCATAATATTGTAAAATAAAAATTCTTCCGAGAAAAGAATATAACATTGACCAACATATTCCGGGCTTGGAACCGTCGCATAACACATTCGGCGGGGGTTTTACTTATATGATTGGATCCAACAGCTCCCACTATGTTTGGTCAGAGGTGAAATAAAAAAGACAATTGGGAAGTATATTGAAACTAGATAAGAGTAGAAAACCGAAGCGTAGATCAACAAAAGGGAAAATCAAGAAACAAAAACAAATCCAGGACAAGAGAAAAGGGCAATTTTCTCATAGAAAACCAAAGTTATATGAGTAAAAACTGACACCCTTAAACGCAAGCGCTACGACAGGCTACGCAGTACTAGCTTCTGACAAGACACTAGACGTGTTTCTCGTAAATGTTATGCCCGGTAACGGAGAAAATGTATCAATAACAAAGGGACAACTTATAGCAGTCAATTATATTCAATATGTACAGGAGTATAGTGAAGATTTGTTGAGAAACGTAACCTCTACGATGTCCACAAGTGTGTTTTGGACGCGTAACGGACAGACAGAAAGTCCCGTTACAATGTCCTCTCCGTAACTTAATTACTATGGGGATGATAATGGATTCGGATGTGAATAGATTGACGATTATTATTATTTTTTTATTCAATTTATAGAATTGAAAGAGAAATGGTTTATAAATAAATGCTTACATATAATAAGTTTTATATGAAAGAAAGGGGGGGGGGGGGGGGACCACAGAAAATCAACAATAGCTATATTTGCTTAATATCCGTCCTTTCTTCAAAATAATACCGTTCAAATCGAATGTGTACGTATATGTTACATGCATGTTATACCTGAATGATTTTTATGTTTGATACGACCCCTCTATTTCTCCTGTACACTGTAGGTGTCAATAGTCGGTGTCGAGAGTTGTTGAAAAGGTCTATTACTTCTCACAACGTTTCTTTGCGGTGAGAGTTTAAAATATCAAAGGTGACCTTGCACGAAAAGTTACATTATAATGCTGAAGAATGCAGTCTTCACAAAAAAGGTGTGATATGACTTGTCTGGAACACCAGCTTGTTTCTATAGATTAAAAATTCCACTTGTATAGATTTTAAAATGTCACTCCTTGCTGTCTCATCAATTATTTGAGAGTTATAAATAAAGTGCACTAGGAAGTCGAAACTGATGCAGCTGCTACTGACTCAGTCACAGCATCCTATGATGAGTAAATTCTTCTAAACTCGGTCAAATAATTTGCATTATAGTTACATGTATTCAGATGTCTCTGATGTATTTATGATGATGTAGAGAAGAATCTGAGAATCTCTCCAGTCTCATTCTAATTAGAAAATGACACGATGAAAGATTAACAAGCAAACCGCATTGTCATTTGACTTCTTCGTGAATCTAAAATCAATTTTAAACCACCCTGAATAATGAGTTTTTATTGACTAAGTTCTATCTGATGGTCTCTGAATCATACCATATTTGTCTTTGATTTCGTGCGTGAAAATTAACAATGAATATTCTATCCCGTCCTATAATGATACCCTTAGGATGGGCAATGTCAAATAATGAACAAATATGCCCAAGACGTATTAGACACTTTTTCACACTAGTTAATATTAAATACGCGTTCTTGCCCTTTGAACTATAGGTTCTGAACTTTCCTAGTTAACTTTTCGAACGCAGCGGCAGATTTTGATATGGAAAAGGTGACATCATTTTTTTTTTAAATTCCTCTCGCCGCTTTCTATGTATAATTCTAGAAAAATTAGAATAATATTTCACATGTTCATGTTTATCTGAAAGATTTGTAATGCTTTGGAATTTAACAAGATTTTGTTAAATTCTTTCTTCATCATAGAAATTCCTGTTTATATTTTCGTAATAGTCAGCAGATATCATTCTGCAGCATGTACGATGTGCATACATATGATCTGTTATATTATGGTATGTAATTCAGTCTCAACAAGATGCAACATGTACACAAACGATACACATACCTACTTCCCTTTCTGATGTCCCTCCAAAATGAGATTGTTTTGTTATAAATAAGGCAACTGAATTGTTTCATATTTTTCATGTCGGGACATTTTATAGCTGACTATATATATACGGTATGGGTTTTTCTCGTTGTTGAAGGCCGTATGGTTGCCTATAATAGATTACACCCACTTCAGTTGTCTCATAGGCAATCATATACCACATCTCCCTTATTTTAATATTATTTGTATTCATGCAAATCTTGCATTAGGTTCTATACCTGTGTATGCTATTTCATTGGAGGCCATCCGTTTAAGAAGAATTACGCTTGAATAAGTTTCAAGGGAACATCGGAAACTACTACAAAAGATGTTCATATTTTGCTATAGAAGTCTAAGGGCAGGTGGACGGCTGGACACTATGATTAACACGAAGCCCCAAAATTTCCAATAAGAAACAATAATTAATTTGACATCAATTTAAAACGAAGCCAAAGTTTAAC